GAAGCACGCGTTCACAGAACAATTGAGGAGGTCCTGTTTATGGCGTAACTATTTGCAGCTCTCAGTTAAACAAGAATTGCAAGAAGGCAATTAAAGGTGTGCCGCGAAAAACCACCACTTGAAGTGTTGTCCCCTATTTTTAGCTAATTGTATGCAAAGAAAGTGAGCAGCTTTTCCAGCGACTTGAGACATATTATGTGGCGAGAGAGTTTATCAGGATCAGCGAGAAAAGCACTCTCGACAGTATGTCAAATACTCCTAGAGCTCCAGCACATTTGCCTGCTATTCCTCATTATAAAGGAACCGCCTCATTCCTTACAGGTGGCTCGGACAGACATTGTACAACCAACCCTGCACAAGTTGAACCAGCAGGACTACGAACTAATGCTACGAGCAGCAGACCTCTTGCCTATTGAGTTGTCCCTTTCCCAAAGACCTGAACGGCTCTTCTCAAGAGAAGAGCTTCGAATATTAACAAAAGATGCTGAAACGACATTCGCATCCAAAGCTTCCGCATTTGGAACAGCCGGAATGAATAAAGCAGTGCCTTATATAAATGGCATGTAGATTCATTTTTTTCAACTAAAAGTTTTGTTCACGTGAAAATGCCTGCATTTGAAGCTCAGGCTAGACATACAGATCTTTTCAAAAGACCTGATTTATCTAAACAAAAGAAGGCAAAGCTCGTTATTTCCAGTTTTGTGATTAAGCACAGTGGTACCACAGGAATTAGTTAGCATGCACGAATTGATATAATTTGCAAATACCTGGAAACCGCCGACTCCCTCTTCGAATGTTTCTTGACTGGCTCTACCTCTTTGGTGACAAATAATTCATCTGAGCTTTTCTTGTTCACGTTAGCTGCAAAACATCAAAAAAATTAACGTCAATACCTTTCGAATGATATGTCATGCTTCTAACTATGCTTCACTGTTATGCCTGCGGCACGGATTGATGTGCCAGAGCTTTCGCTCAAGGTGGCGGGCCCTTCAAACAAAGCCCTTGCAAGAATACGTCACGATCTACCAAACGGCTCATACCATTATGTTCGGCTAACCGCAGGTACAGCAGGCCCACTTCGAGACAAAGGCTTATCAGACTATATGAGGCACAACCATTAAAATTTTATTCGGAGTAGCTACCTGTTTGGAATCCCATCGCATCGCCACTTTCTCCTGTTCGCGAACGCAGCCGCTCCTCGATAATTTCTCTTGTTGGTACAGGGTCTTCTACCAAAGGGATCTCAAAGAAGAAAATAATCATAATCTATAAGAGTCAAACAGTGAGATATGTGATCAAAAAGTAGAAAAGAAAACTAACTTCGTAGTAGTAAGGGTCACCACGATCTAGGTCCTCCTCGTCTGAACTGGTTGTCATTCGGAAGTTCAACGGGAGACCACCATACTTTGCTCGCCTTAATCTGCTCTAACTGAGCTTTCATATATTATCGAATGCTTCAATTTTGTAAATATTTTTCAGAATTTAAATATCGGGTATTGAAGGCAATAATCAAGCATAGGTACGAGTTTTCGTTTCAGCAATTCCGGCTAAATTCCGGACCATTTAGTCGGTTGTTAGAGTACAAAGTACAAAAGGTAAAGCGCTGGTGGCACCATTTCCCTTACCACATCTGCGACAGCTGAATAGTGATTTTGTAACAAATCCTTAAGCCTTGAAAAACCTCTGCTGAACTAAAGCTGTCGTCAGTGTGTTAAAGGCAGGGCGTGCGCTAGTTTAGAGGCACGCCTAAAGAATGCATCAAGGTGCTCCACGCATTCGACTCGTGTTTAAATGGAACTAAACATTTCCCGAAAAACCTGTGTTAGCGGATTTTCCTAAGCACAGTAGGCTGTGGACCAAATACCAAACTCGATGAAGACAAAACGATGCGCAGCGCTGCACAAGATCAGTCGACCGTTAATCGTTATTGGGAAAGCTTTCAAAATCTGAAGACCCCCCTCTCGCTTGGACGGCGTCCCCACACGACTTCCTCCAACGGTCGATGATGTCTATAGGGTCATCATAACTGGTTCCAAACTGAATCTGTGCCATATACCAAAGTTAAATCTACAGATGGTCTCTAAGACTTCTATCTGCCTCGCTCTTTTGAGGATTAAAATAAGAAAGAATTATACCATCTTCCCAGGAACCGACACCTCCCTAGTCCAGAAAGACCTTCTTCTTCAAATATGATCCCCGCTGATAAATTTTCAACAAACAAAAGCCTGCCTTAGAATTCGCACAAACAGCTTACATATGCGTTCACAAAGCTACGGCGATAAACTACTCTATTTGAGGTGACCCTTCAATGACAGCTGTAATTGATAACGGACATACCGCCTTTCTGGTGCTACAACTCGAGCACACGTGCCCGTGTCGTCTTCCATTCGCAACTCATGTCGGATCTGATCAATGAGCTCCTGTTCATCGGAAAACGCCATCCCTGCGGTACTTAGCAATTCATCCAAGTACTGACGCCAAGAATGATCAAATAAAACGATTGAAGCAGTTTTGGTAAAGCACCTTGATTTCTTCACGAATAGCAATTTAACATGACAATATTTCATTTGATACAAGCAAAAGCAATAATTATGTAAGTAAACAAGGAATATGAAAAATGTCGAAGACGAAGAATGTATACAACAACCACTTGCAATCAGACAAATGTGATTTTAGCCAAAAATAAGAAATGCCGAAGATTTCGCACAAATCAAGGAAAGAGGTAGTATATGTAAGAAATTCTATTCTACCGTTTAACTACGCTTACGGTACTCTTCATTTTATATTTCCAAGAGTCACATGAGTTCGAATCAGACGCACTTTCATGATCACTCCGTACCGGATTTTCGCAACTTTCCCGTCCTCCAGCTAATCGTTTTGACTGTTTTTCGGAAGAACCGTTGTGCTGCTCCTCTTCGTCACTCGAGCGTGGTTCTTCTTTTATTTGTCGTATTGGAGATCTTTCAGGGCTTAAAAATCAGTTTGCAGATGAAATGATAATAGTTCTATTCATAAGTGCGGAGAAAAAGAAGAACACGTTTCTTTAGACATTTTTGTTGATACTAATTACTCTCCCATTGAGGTTATATGTCAATGCGATCTCTCACCTCTTATCTCGTGCTACCGTGCGCCTTTCGCGATCCCGCGGACTGCGACTTCTTCGTCGAGGACTTTGGCTTTTTCGACGTGGATTGGGACTTTTAGACTTTCCTCTTCGGTTTTTGTCACGGCCATCACGAGTTTTCCTTTTCCTTGAATCGTCACTTGGAGACCGACGAGGTGGGCTGCGTGTACGGTTCTTGCGAGTAGAACTGTCGTGGCGATCCTCATCTTTTCTAAACAGGGAATCTTGAATATGAAACAACCAAAAAGGAGTAAACTATCCTGAGAGAAGTAGACTACCCTTGGTGGCACACCATATTAAACAAAAAATACACGAGTGCATGGCCAAGAAACTTGGTTTTTAGATAAGTTCTTTTTAGGCTTAAGGGCAGAGTTTACCATGAAGATGCAGCCCGTTACAAAGCAAGGTAGAGCTGGTCAATGAAGCAGGGGCCGCGAGCATGACTTTCCTAACCCGCTGGGACATACTCTTCACTGCGAGACGAAAATCGTTCCCCGCCCTCAGAGGTAGGAGCGCCTGCTTCCCGACTTTGTCTACCTCCCGTTCAACCTCCGACCTTGTCTAGAGATAATTCTTTGACCTACAAAATCAACTATTCCCATGTGAAGGTCATTTTTGTTGTAAGGATTGCCTTTATTATATTTTTCTCATCGTTGCAATTGAGCGCGAACCTCTTTACATGCGACTACCCAAATACGGGTGGGTCTCGTCGATAAAATAGAGTCCTGAATTCATACCCCAACCCCGAGCCAAGAAAAAGGTTCATAGCTGTGAATCGGTTGTCCATGCACACAAGGATTCGATATGGCGGGACGTGCTTCTCAATGAAACATCTGTTTAATCTACGCATAAAGGAATCAAATAAGCAAACTGTACGCAAGGAACCAGAAGAAGCAAACCGTAAAAACTAGATCCCATCCTTTCACTACAACGTACCTGTGTCTGACGCTACGCTCTTCTTTATCCTTGCGACTACTTCTGCCTTTGTCGTCCTCCTGTCTATCACGGCCCTTGTCGCTTCGCCTATCTCGACTGCTGCCATCCTTTTTCTCATTCGTCTTCTTCTTGTCAACCTCTACCTTTTTAGCCCTGAGAATATTTCCCTTTCAAAACGTTAAAATTACG